TGACGACTTTTTTCCGGTCTTAAAACTATTGGAATTTCGTTCGAAACAAGTAAACATTTAACGAGAGAGCTGCCGTTCGGGCCAATGACATTTGTTAACTTTTAATTAATTAATAAAACACGATAACTGTACAATATGATTAACTGAGAGGTAAGATGACTGTTAACGACGAGAAGAATGTCGCGACTGGGGCCCAAGTCATTAAAAGTTCAAAAGTCATAAAATGCTGAAGATTTCTTGGACCACGCAATGGTTGTAGAATTTAAAAACATGTACTCGTTGCCGTCTTTCAGAGAAAGTGTAGTGCGCCGTTGTGCAATGGAGCAGAGGTAAAGAACCTAACATTATCTTATTAAGAAATTATAAATTAGAGGGCTTTGCCTTTGAGAAATGCCTATTCAAAAAAGTTATGGTTAATATATTAAATGAGTGTAATTCGTTATACGTTGTATAGGGCACCGGTAGATATTATGTATTATAATTATTATTTTTATTATTATTACTATTTGTACGAGTTTGAAAGCAACAATCATTACACTTGAAAATAAGTTTTGTATGGATTGTTGTTTCCTATAAATAACATAAAATGATAAAATAATGATGCGGTGCTCAAATACGTCTCTTGTCCATTCTGAAAATGTTGGGATTAAATTAATATTTGTTTAAATAGATAAATTATCCACAGGTAACTAGATTCCTTCTCGCCTCCATGGCATTGTTAATCTTCCCCAAAATGTACTCATTTTACATTAGGTATAGACAAATATTATCAATAAACATTATTGAAAAAAAAAATAATAATCATCTTAGTTTTATACCAGGAAACATATTTCAACAAACAGTTGTTAATGGTATAGGTCAGACTATAGGTAGATTATGCCTTCATTCAATATTACATCATTTGAGAAACTTGAGAACACAAGAACAAAAGGAAAATCGATCTAAATTGACACGTTCTTATATCAAAGCAAAATAACGTAAGATCAGACATGTTTTCTGTGAATTTCGGGTAAAATTCAAGACCTAATGACAAAAATAAATAATTTAACGAAAGAAATATTGTAATATGTAGTGAATAAATATTATGACCTATGGGGGATTGAATTTCAAGCATTTGGATATTTTGGCTTTTGTTGGTCTCGTTCTGCGGTGAAACAATTCTATAAATATTATTCACTGTAATAATGCACCATAAAAAATATCTACCCATAATAAAAATTAAATTAAAAAAGGGACAACAGTTCATTTGGAGGCCATACAAATATTAAAATGAAGGAGTTTATACAATGTATAATATAATATATGTATAGATTGCGAGGATAATTGCCCAGAATTTTTTCGGGTACATATTCAAAGCCAGTTCTATAAGGACTATAACGGTGTCTTGTGAAAAACTGCTATGAAATATGAATTGAAAGAGGTACTGGTTTGATGAAAAGACATAATATTATCGTACATTGTTAGAAACTTTTGAAAACAAATTGTCAATTCAAAACATCTCAAACCTAAGACGAGTTATTATGTTTTTAATACGAAGTAGGTAGATAGTTAAAAAAAATATAAAAAATGTAATTACATCTACTACGAACATATTAAATAAAAATAACTTTACCATATTCTAAAACATCCATAATGCCCTAAAATATTTATGTCGATGAGTATAGCTACTTATCAGTAATCCTGTTTTAATAACCTTGATCATTATTGGATGAATTTATTAAACGTCTATATTTTTTGAAAAATATTTCAAGTTATTATATCATACACAAATAATACATTTTTCAATTATTTATTGAATACAAATAGGCTATTTATTTATGCAAGTTTTATTTTATATGAGTAGCCAATTATAAATATTATATTAATTACCTATTATTATTGTTCATTTGAGTTAAACAAAGATGTAATGTAATACATTATTACTAATAACCAAAAACTACCTAATTAGTATGTTAATTATTTTCGTAGCTTGTGACGAGTGTAGTAGATAATACACCCGACCACCCGCGACCCACTGCCAAGACTCTTCGAATTATAATTATTATAATTTTTGTTTTATTTTATTTGATAAATATAATTTTTATAATAAGTTACACGTTTATAAAACTATGTTTAATTGCTGTGCTTTTCTTCCTAAAAATCAATAATTCTTATTAATATAAATAAATATTTAATATGTAGGTCCCTCACGCCATAAGTAATACTATTGGGTAGTTCCTTAAACTCATGTAAACTCACTTAAAAACACATAAACACCTCATATATGCCTATTGTAAACTAGCCTTACAGATTGTATATTTTCCAAATAAATGTTGAAAAAAAAATATGTAGGTACCGAAGATATATACATAACGAATTGGGTTTCTTTAAATTTTATTTTATAATATTTAGATTGAATATTTGAAAATAATAAAAAGTTAAATATTATCAACAACGAAATAATTATTTAGAGTTACTCCTATAGTTATACTTTCTCAAATATTAATGTTTGCATTTTATATACAATTTATTTTTCAGTTCTATACGTATTTTTGTGTATGATAACATTTTTACAATATTATGTTGTAGAAAACTAAGTTCACATATATTATAACATTACAAAGTTAGTTATTAATTATTATTTATTCATTGGTTATTTATGAACCACAAAATAAAGTGATGTGTAATGTAAATATATGCATGAATCCTATCATGAATCCATCTAATATTTAAAATACAATTTTTAATATCTACTAACATTCTAAATAATATGTTAAAAACATGGTAAACCAAAAATAGGGTGGTTTATTTTTAGTATAGAAAAATTATCGTGACTTTTGAGTTTTGACATTAAAAATGTCATTAAATGAAATATCATAGCAATTTTAATCAGAAAAGAAAAAACGGAATTTCAGGATAGAATGATTTTATAATATAAGGTTTACGAAATCGAGTTATTATATATTAATATAAAATAATGTATAAGTCATGTTAGTGGTAATTTGACCGCACAGAAAAGGCAATGAAAATTGTAGTGGCGCCATGTGGTCAACTCGTTAGTCGACGTTTGATATGAAACAACTGTTTGTTTAATCATTAATACATTTATTTATGCTACATGTTCTTAGAGAAATGTTATAAATAATAAAAAATACGACAATATTATGAATAGGTACGATGTAGGAACTGGGAAGCTATAAAATATATTCAATAGCAACAATTATATAATATTTAGTTTTTAGTCATTAGAGGTATTCCCAATGTCGATGTCTAGAGATTTCCAACGTTTTGAGTGATTATTTTTAGTTTTTGGATCTGGAATTTGTTTAAGAAATATGTACCATCCACCTATACTAATAATAGTACACTAGGTAAATTAGGTGAGTAATGAACGAAAAATAAATAAATGAAGACTTATGAGAAGTGAAAATTCATTATGTAACATCTCTAAAAATTAAAGTTATGATTTTTTTTGAAAATTGATTTGTAGTTGAATTGTCTTTGTTAAGACGTCAGGCCAGTTTCTTTTTAAGCCTGATTGCGGGAATTCCTACAATAGTTGGAGGCAGTTTTTTGGACATAAGAGGATTTTAGTGATTATAGTTGGTTCATTGTGGAATTAATTATAATATTGGTTTACTAGTTTTTTGAGATATGTAGGTAGGTACCTAAGAGACATACCAAGATGAGTCGTAAACTAATGGCCTCAAATATTTTCAGTGAGAGAATTGTTTACCATTTTTTTTTTAGCCCGAGATTTGGTTGTCGTTTGACCAAATAAGAGCTGTAATAGTTCTAAGGAAGACATCTTATTTTAGGTACTAAGTTTAGACTTAAGAATTTGTCGTAGATAGTGTAGGAGAGAGTAGTATGGTTTATTTATTTTTTATTTTTTGATCTTTTCAGGTGAGTTTTTTGTCGATAATTGTTATTCCAGAGTGTTTATCAAATTATTCAAAACTCGATGAATGTTATTTCGTTTATAAGAAGATGAAACATAATATTGTTTCTAGTGATTTCGGAATAATTCCAACGTAGGTACAAAATATATAAATATCTTATTATTGATAAATTAATACTGAAGGAATGTTTGTTTATTGATTTTAATAACTGTAAGGTACCATTGTACTCTTATAAGTCTTTGTATGGGTCTTTAAAAATACAGCTTAACATTTATTTTTATATTATTGGACTACGTTTGGGTACATAATACATGCTCTGCAAGTTTCCACAATTATTGGAATTTTTCATTTCATTATTATAACTACATAATAAAAACGCAATCTATGGTAAAATATAAAAATAAAAGATTTCATCTCCATTGAACATTGTTAAGACTTGGGCAACTGATCAATTAACTCTCAATAGTAAAAAAGTATTCCGTTTGTTTTATTTAAATAAACGATAAAATCTACAAATCTTTACCCTTGAACCCTGTACAAACGACAAAAAAAATTCTAATAAATTCCAGTGCAATTACCTATTCATATAAATCAGATTACAAATCTCTATACCTTACTGTCAGCGCAATCGTAAATCAGAACCTCTGACATAATATTTGCAAGACGTGCCCGTAATTCCTTACGTTTAAATCGTTTCATTACCACTTTTTTGATTGTTCTAGTTATGTTAGTCGTTCAATTAAACATAATTTTCCAGAATAATATTTTATAATTTATAGGTAATAATACATAAATTTCGTATACTTTGAGTATAATTCTTGACACATTAGATAGATTATTATTAATAATGTGTTGATAATTGACTATATCCAAATATGTGATTACCAAAATAATATGCATAAGAATATGTGTCAATGATGTTTTATTTCAAATAATACAATTTCGATTTTTTTTATTTGTATTTAAACTCGATTTAAAAACCAATTTTTGATAAACCATGGTATAAATAAATATATTTATTTTTATAAATAACAAATTCACTTTAGGTTTCCATAGACATCTCATTCAAAGTGTATATAATGTAAAAATATAGCATTTAGTTTACAGTGATTCAGAACGATGAATAATTTTCAAGCTAGTAAGAAGAATATACTCACCAATAGTGAACACGGTGACAAGAGGAATTATATATATTTTTAATTCGTATAGTAAACTTTTATTAAATATAGTTTTCATTATTTATTATGTTTGTTTGAGTAGAACAGCTGACAAATGGATCGATATGTGTCAGTCCAAAGAAATGTATTATATATTTCAAGCCTGGTCATACATACATGCAAACAATAAAATTGTTGAACATGACTGATTTGCCACAAATCATAAGAATAAAACCTTTGGAATGTAAAATATTCAAATTTCCATATTTAACCACCGTGAGTTGTGCTCAAAATGATCAAAAACATATCTCATCGTAGATCATTTTGTATTGCAATCAATAGATATTTGAATGCCTGATTTTTGGCTTTATACTACAAGATAACTGAATTATAGATATCAATCATAATATTTGTTTTAATTGTTATCAAATATAATCTTTTGGTCGTTATAATATAACATATTTTAATTTAATATAATACAAAATACGATTATTTTAATTAACTTTTTAAGGTGTCTATTCTTCCCAATACATCTTGGAATTTACAGTTTACCTTCATGACTTATATAAATCAGGAGTTCAAAAGTTATTTGCATTTAAAAAATCCTACTGGTCAAGGAGACTTGGCTATAGAACTAAGGGCTATTCCAAAAAATGCCTCCTTTTTACCCAAGACCATTGATTTTGGAAACGTAAATATAGGAATGAGGTTAGTATAGTTACATTTTAACATAAAATCTACAAAATGTTATTTTGTAGCGTTACGAGGAAGTTGAGTCTGGCTCCTAAATCAAAACCTTATCAGTTTCGCATATTTATCCCGCACGGTTTAAAGGGCTTATTTGTAAATCCAACTTGTGGTTCGTTTCAAATAGTCGTACAAGGGATTGTTTGAATAAAAATTGATTTTTTTCAGGTGAAGTATTTTGTGATTATCCAACAAACGTCACAGTCGTTTACACGCCTCAATCGTATATTACTTTGTGTATTGATTTAGTACTATACCTCACGGGATTTAATCAAAAACCACAAGTTATTACTTTGACGGCAGTTACAAAACCTAAGCCTTTCTGGTAATTCATTCAACTAATAAGTTTTTGTAAAAAGATTGATTACATTTTTGGATACAAATGCTATATTAATTTAAACACTTGCAACAAGTCTTGTGTCGAGATCAAGATATATTAAGTATAATCAAAATGTACTTGAAATATTTAAAAAAGATCATTTATCACTGGTCAGGGTGGTTATAATCCTATGGGTAACTAATTTATAATAAATACGCAAGTTGCGAAATGTGCGTAAAACGAGACACTGAGTCTTCTGTTTATTATTTCTCTAATAAGAATATAATATTTGTTGTTATTTATTGTTATTTATGTTGTTATAATTGTTTATTAAGTACCATGATATAAATGTAATACATTTTTTTAGCGCTACAAATATAAAAACGCATGTAACGATCCCAAAACAAAAGTGTTTACATTTATTTCATAAAACACGTTCAGATAAGACTCAAAAAGATATCAAGGTTTTCGACCGACTGACACTGAATAAAATGTTGATGGATAAACCCCCCGTTTTGGCTGACGAATCTTATAAATGGCTTAGTTAGTATTGCAATAACATTAAAATTATCGTGTTCTAATATTAAAATTGTATAGTTATAACACATAGGTGATCTATAAACGGTAAAAAAAAGTAAAAGGTAAACATGATTATAATAAGTATTTAACCAACAGTAACTATATTTAACCAATAGTAATTTTTTGTGCATATTTTACTCAACCATATTGATTCTAATTACTCATTAGAGCCATGTTCATTAAAACACGATTTGTTTTTAATTATAACAACTTTATATACGTAGGTAGTTAAAATTAATGTTAAGCCATGGTTATAAATATCTAATATTATAGATTATATTATTATGATTATCCACCATACGTTTTTGAAATATTTGTTACGATTTCAAGATCCTCTTGGTGAGTTTGACAAAGTGTATCGAGATGAGTACATACAAAACTACAACGATTTTATGGTAAATGTAAAACGTTTCGGCGACGAACATAAGAACGATTGCCTTGAGATATCTCGAAATGAACTAAATACCAACGACGAAGAGAAAAAATCTGTTTACGACAAGCGAACAACTGAATGGAACACTTACAAGGTAAAATGTACAAATCATAGTAATTCACTTATAAAATAAGTAAATATAAATTATAGGAAAAATTATATTCACATGAAGTCATATCACTTAATGATCAATATGCACCAATTGGACTTCGTAAAAGAAGCATTCGAACAAATTATATTGTAAGCCGTAAAAACAATACCAGATTTCATTAATATGTATCAGCTTCTTCTTTTTTTTTTTAGGATACAAGTGAATTCAATTTTGATCCAATTCCCGATGATAACTGGTGTATACGATTTCAAATGTACAACAAATTCATTAACGGTGTCAAAATAATTATAATTAAAAATCGTTTAGAAAAAAGACTAAATCTTTTCAAAGCATTAATTGCCAATAACATAATAAATCTGTTGTGACTCAATAACCATAATTGTATAAGTAATGGTGTTTGTTCGATTATTTGTATATTTGGTATACTTTTTATGCTTACGAGTTGTGAGTAACTTTTAAAATTTAACAGTATTAAATAATAAAGTATTATTATATTATTTAATTGATTAAACATCTCTTAATTATCGGCTAATTGATGTGCCCGTTATACTCATATAGACATACATTTTATATATCGTGTTCAATATAATATTGTTTGAACATGGTTATCACGTGCCTACTGTGTCATAATATTCTGTGTGATTTTGAAAACAACGCTGTATCTAGGCAATTCTACGATCTTACTTATGTGTTTTAATCTAAGTTAATATAATTAATTAGTCGTAATTGTAGTGATCACCATGCGGATATCACGTAGGTACGAATGAGAATATAGTGACAGAATAATATAAGAAGAGACAGGTAGGTCGCGAGGTGCGATAGGCGAGAATGCGTTTTGCAATTTTCGTTGAGTGAAAACATAACAACTGTAAAATACATAAAGTATCCAAGACGGGTGTACTCTAATTAGTTAATTCGAGTATAATGTTACCATTTTTAAGATATACTTTTTGAAAAAAAAATGTTATACTTGGGAATGGCAAAAAACTAAGGAACATATTATAATGTCCGCACGATCAAATAATGAGCTCACTGTCGAATAATACGTCATGTAATATAAATATAATATTTCATTTTTATAAATATTATTCTTAAAATTGTATTGAATTCATTTTTGTCAATTTCTGACAAAGTTGTAAAATAGTTGCGAAACTACTCTGTTTAAGTGAATTTAATAATACATAGTAATTGAAGTAAGGTTATAACACGGACATGTGCCCGCAGTTAACATTTAATGGACATTTTATAATTTTGTTTCATGTATGTATCATGTATGCGTATACGTTAATTACTTTAGCATAAACATACATGACAAAAGGTAATTTACTACGACATAATATACGTTTTAGCATATTGTATTTCAAGAAACTGCATTTTTAAGCGCAAGTAAGTCACGAAGCACCACAGACGTATTTTAAGTTTAATGTGATCCAGTAAAAACAAACGTAAATAAAGAAAATAACAAACGTATGCATTTTTAAAAATTTTAGTAAGACATATCATAAATAGGCATCTCTTGAAAATGATTTATTTACTTTACAATCACTTAAAAGTTAAAACTATATTAACGAATCAAAGTTGGCCTTGAGTGTACACAAAATGATTTCTGATATGCACAATTAATTAATGCAGGTGTGTCTTAAGACCGCAGTTGACGGAAAAGAGGGTGAATGCATTGCGTTATAAAAGCAGTACAATAAAACATTAGTTTAAAAAATGGTTGAAAATAAATCAATATTAATTGGAATTGAAAAACCCTGTTTTCATGATACCGAGAGGGGTGGGCGATCGCTTTCACACCATCCAATATGACACTCTTGGACGAAGGAGTAAATCATGAAGTATGAATTATTGTTTAATTGTCTTATACACTTCAATGCATGCATTTAAATTGTAATAATACTAAAACAGTAAACTCTAAGATATCTCGTGCTAATGAATACAGACTCTAGTCGAAGATTTAATCGGTTTTATTGTTAAGCCATTCCTATATTATTTTTCAATCGACGTATGATGTTTCTGTCCTATTTTTATAGGCAGCGAGTACATATTATTAAATATATTTTTATAATACCAACAATAATGGTATTTAACAACCACGGAAATTAAATTCCTCATTATATATCGATGGATATACAATAGTATTTTGCTTTAAAAGCTGATAGGTATTTATAATACGTTATTAATAATACTATTGTACATAGTACCTAGTACTGAAGTACAGAAATTTAAAATAAAATAATTTCAACAACGATCGGGAATTACTTAAATTCATTTGAATTGAATATTATTTCATAGAGTAATAAAGTTATATTAGGTACGATTTTTTGTTCATTTTTATGCGGCTTTGTAAAATTAAATGCATTTATTAACTTAAAAAATGCACTTACAATTTTGAAGATTTCACTATAAAAATACATTATAAGTATGGGTATTAAAGAATCATAATTAAAAAAAATATTAAAAATTATTATGTGTAAAACATTTTAAATTAAATCCATCATTAATCAAGCGTGATGTGCGTACAAATCATGTAAATTATTTATAATATAAAAATTAAATACTAATTCGTAACATGTGTGTATAAAGTTTTAATAGCCGTAAATTATTGAAAATATCAGAAAAACTAAAAAATATTACTAACAAAGATGATCACGATATAAAAACTCCAAGAACAGACCTAAAAATCAAAAATCAAAGTTTCAAAACTGAATTCATTAGAATCTTATTCAAACTTTGTGTTAAAAATGCTACCTATGCTTTATAGGTTAAATTTGCATTTTTTATATACAAATGTACATAGTACCCTATGTAGGTAACTGGTTGGATGTTAACCAAAACTAACTAAACCTACAATCAAAGATATAAAAGAGTTAATTTTTTTAGAGATACCATATTTGTTATAAAATAATTGATTGCATTTAATCGATTGTAATGATTTGAAACTATACATAGTTTTTTTTTTTTGAGATGAGGGTTGAAAATTTTATGTTTTAGTGTTAATAATGAATTGTAATTTGTGAATAATAATTTATATTAATTAAGGTAATTGTCAATGCATCATATCCATCCAAAATATATCGAATGATTAATGAGGCCAGAAGATACATATAATAACTAATAAGTAATATTACCTGTTCGTATCATTAAAATTAATTTAGTACAATATTTTACATGTATTTATTACTGATCAAACTGCTTAAAAATGTTGAAAATGTTTTTTTTTTCATTTCATAAATGATACTTAGACTTTAACCACTAGCATTTATTGAACATCGAAAACTCGAATCAACTAGTGTGATCAAAGCTATTACCTGTGGTTATATAAATGTATTATTATCACGTACGACCACTTAGTTGATTTTTTTTCTCGTCAGACCAATGCAATTGGCTCGTCAAAACTTTGAACGACAAACCAAGACCATTATTATTGTTATCGTGAACGATTTTGCGGCGATTAGTTTGCCCGGATGAGGGCTGCAAAAGAACCGCTTCTGTCCTCCATAATAAAACCTTTATTACCTTATTGTTGCGAACAATCGACCCGAAAAGTGATCAGCCCCTATAGTTTCAAGCTTTATATATTATTGCTATTATTATTATGATTATGATTATTATTTTTAAAAAAAATGTATCGTGGTAGTTAAACGATATTATGAACAGAAGGTTGAAACTTTCCACATTATATTCTATTACGAAATGGCACAATTGTGAAGTTTTGATGACTATATACATCCCTTATATTATTAGTACTAGCTATATTATTTAAATTTTAAATGAAAAAAAAAATATATGCATTTTGCTTACGACCGCTTATAATAATCGTCATCGCTGTCACGAGTCAAACTCATCGACCTGCCGGCATAAGTTGTATTCATTATAACACTGTCAACGTTATAAAAAGGAAAAACAATAATATTTACTAATTATCATAACTTCACGGTGGCCGCCAACCGTTGCAGATAATGTCAATTTGTTCATAACTTCTGTTGTCATTTCAATCATAGCACGACCCTTCAGTTCCATATAACAGCCCCTGACCCCCAGGAGAGATGCAAGTTTCAATCTCATTTGTATTTTTAAATGGAAAAAAATACGTTCTGGGAAAAAATTATAATTAAAGTTTTAATTCGGTTGGAGTAAAGTCGCAGTAGTGGGCTGTGGCAAATTGCAATACTGTATATACATGTTGATAACTTTCCGACAAGAACATTGCCCGGTTATACCTGCGTTTACTTACGAATATGTATTAGTAGAAAAGTATTTCCGATATATTTAAAATATTGTGCGGTATTATTGATTGTGTTGTACCTAAAGGCATGCACTTAAATTTCAAAATGTTTATCACGTACCTACATGGCAAAATATTTTGTTAGGTAATGCATTATTATACTTGGTTTGCTTCGTTGTCGGCAATCTATCCAACGGCAATATCTGAAAAAATATTTATATTTTATGATGTCGAATGCATACGTTGATAAATACTTTCACGTAAAATTTTATGGATTTTAAAGTTTCAAAGTAATCCACATTTTAGAAAATGTACGCCACATAACGACTATCGAATAATGGAACGAAGCAACGAATAGTTTTTCGTTCAATACTGTAAATAAGAGAATTATATTGAAGGAAAGGATACATTTTCACTTTCCATTAAAAGCTTTCTGACAATGTATACATTAAATGTATAAGAGCATTAAAATACGTCAGTGCAGTCCCTGAATATTAAAAAAAAAAAAGTGAGGGACTAAATATTCAGTGTTAGCCGTTAGGTTTGATGTACTTTAAAATTCAATTTCAATTTTAATCATAGTTTCACTATGATTTACTTTGAAAAGTAACTTTTTAGTTTTTATAAAATTGAATTTCTTTTGTTGAAATTGTTATGGTGAAGGGTTTTTATAAACAGAAATACTTATTATAATCAAATTTCAATTTTTTTTTTCCAAATGGTTATAATTACATTTCAAACTGAAATATGTAAATAATACAAATCACTGCAAGTTCATCTTGTTAAAATGAATTAAGATAAATTAAACATCATATAAAGTATGTGAGTGTTTAAAAGTTTAAACAAAATTAAAGTCAGTATACTCTGCAGTAACTTAATTAATTTCTCGTATCTTATTTTTTTTTCAAAACGAAATGTTATTTTTAGTTTGTTTACTACGCACTAAACAATATTGATTTACAGAAATTGTTTTTAAATGCAACAAAAACATAATAATTTATGCACCAAACTAATACACATATAATAATCACCCACCTTAAAATGTCATCATATAATTACATTTTGGTATGTTAGAACATTTATTCGTTGCTTAGTATACGTGTAATTGTTATACTCATCAATATTAATCAATCT